TTCTTGGCAGAGGCGGGACGGCCCTCCAGGCTGACGGAAGCCTAAATGATACGTCCTTACCATATGCTCATTTGATTTTCAGAGAGTTTCTGAGTTTCTGAGTGTTTGTGCCAGAGAACATATCCCTGAACTCTCTACTGACTAACTGCCATCAACCCCCCCAAAGATATGTTATAGTTATTAAAGTAACATACAGCGTATTCATTTCTTTGAGCCAGTTTTATCCTTGGACCAGGCGGGAATATCCGAAAGCTGTGACGTTTCAGCCCTGCGCCCCCTTCGTCTCCCCCACCTGCTCCCTACGAAACTGTTTGGGCCGAATTCCACTTTTAAGTTACGCCTGACTTTCCTAAGGAGATGCTACATCAAAACATTTCACAAAAAAGGGTTCCTGTGAAAAATCTCCGTTGCAGACACTGCCTGCTGCTTTTCTCGGGCTCACCCTGCGTGTGACATGGACAGAGGGCCTCAACTATCACTGCGTTTTACCAAAATCTGAAGAAACAGAGCAAAAGGCCCAAATTTGTAATGTTTGGGGGGTGGATACATAGGTGTGCGTTTATTATTTTCTATGCTTTTGTGTATATTTTTGAACTATTTTATAGTAATAGTATCACCACCACCATCACTCAATCTCTTACTGGCCAGTGGTAACCACTTTCACAATCCCATGACCTTCCTTCCAGACATCTCTCCGTTAGGTAGTGACGGGTAAACGTCTTCTTTTTTTTTTTTCAAAAAAATACCTTTATTGATTTCAGAGAGAGGAAGGGAGAGAGAAGGAGAGAGAGAAACATCAATGATGAGAGTCAATGATCGGCTGCCTCCTGCACGCCCCCCACTGGGGATGGAGCCCGCAACCCGGGCCTGTGCCCTGACCTGGAATCAAACCGCGATCGTCTGGATCCTAGGTCGATGCTCAACCGCTGAGCCACGCCGGCCGGGCAGCGATGGGTAAGCTTCTAAGTGTGACCGAGCTGGGTCAGCCATGCTTTGGCACTTTCTGCTCTGTCCCGGCTGAGTTACATCACGCCCTGGGGACTAAATGGCCGAAAGCATGTCGCTTGCTCAGGGGGTGCGTGGAACGGGGAGAGCGCAATGTAAGTGGGCTCCTCTCACGGCGGGAGGTTGCCCGAGTGGACCCTGCCACGGGCAGCCTTCCCCGCCGGCGAGTGTCATCCGTGGTGTTAAAAAAATAAAAATAAGGACAGACTGAGAAAAGCTTCAGTTCCGTGGGGGCTCGGAGTGTGCTGTCCTCACGGGTTGCGCACGTCGGGCCACCAACAAGTTCAGGGCGCATTTCTGCACGCGGGCGAGACCCACGGCCCGGGGAATTCAGAGCCGTCTCCCCTTGTCCCGGGGCCCTACCTTCTGCGACTCACTTCCGCTCCCAACTGCATCTTATGTTCCCCACAGCCCGCCCCAGAGCCCTGGGGCAACGTGGGTGGGAGGAAAGGGGAGGCGGGAGAGAAAGCCACGGACGGACGGAGGAAGGGGAGCGGGAGGAGGGCCCGTGGCGCGAGACGCCGAGGTTGCTCGCGACGCTCGGCCCGGGACACGCCGACCCGCACCGTCTGCGCCCCGCACAGCCTTGCTCAGGGCTCTCTGCCCGCGGCGTTTGTTTCACACTCCAACTGGCATTAAGCCGCTAGCTATCATCCCTGGTGCAGCCGACGGTTTTCACAAATGACGCCACTCGAGAGCCGTCAGGGGGTCGGGGTCACGCTGGCGTGTGACAGCTCCCGGTCAGCTCCTCATTATCTGCGTGGACATGGCCACGCCGCCTCTGGGAAGCACCGGGCGGGCGCGTGCTCGGGGGTGCAAAGGAACGTAATGTCAGCTCTGGCCAAACCCTGCCCGGGAGGTAAACCTGCTTTTAAAAACACCCTAAACACGGATAAGCACCATCTGAATTATACGATGTCTGAGTTTATATAAACGTATAAAATTTCACCGTAATTCCAAAGGCGTTATTCTACAGTACTTTAAAACTCATCTTTGAATTCGCCTTTTGCTCTTTGGTGAAAAGTACATTTTAATTTGACATTTATTTAAATATCTGTGTCATTATATTTTATTGCAACTGGGGGATATCAGAATAGGTGTGGATATATGGATGTTTGATATTTTTGTTCGATTATAAAAATGCAACATACGCTTCTCGGAGGAAATGAGGAAATATAGAAACCTCCAGAGGAAATTAAACTATTTGCAAACCCTTCACATAGAAATAGTCATAATAAATATTTTACTGTCTCTCTCTCCATACACCCCTGAGGTTGCAGACGGTCTCAAGATGGATCTGTAGATGGTTTCAGGACTCTTAGGGTTCTACAGGTCCTTCCAGAATGACCCCCACGCTCTCCGTGGAGCAGAGTTAGTGCGGCGACTCCGCCTTGACTCCGAGAGTTCGCAGGACTCTGCTCTCCCCGGGACTCCCTGCCTGGGACGGAGGGGGGAAAGCTGGCCTGCGAGGCCTCCCTGCCTGGGAAGGAGGGGGGGAAGCTGGCCTGCGAGGCCTCCCTGCCTGGGAAGGAGGGGGGGAAGCTGGCCTGCGAGGCCTCCCTGCCTGGGACGGAGGGGGGGAAGCTGGCCTGCGAAGCCTCCCTGCCTGGGAAGGAGGGGGGGAAGCTGGCCTGCGAGGCCTCCCTGCCTGGGACGGAGGGCGGACGCTGGCCTGCGAGGCCTCCCTGCCTGGGAAGGAGGGGGGGAAGCTGGCCTGCGAGGCCTCCTTGCCTGGGATGGAGGGGGAGGCAGGCTCAGGAGCATTCCAGTCCTTGTTTTGCTCCTCTCGGCCCCGGAATTCTCTTCTAAAATTTTGTTTTTTTCCCTTTCTTAAATTCCAAGACCTACTCTAGGAATTCTTCCTACAAATGGATTTGGAATGGGTCTTTCATCACCGGCAACCAAAAGAGCCCTGAGCAATAGGACCAGCCCCTCCCCAAACCACCCCTGGGTCCCCTGGGTTCTCTGCTGTCTCCATGTCTCCCCCACTATCTGGGGTTCCCCGGCTTTCTGAGCCTCAGGGGCCCAGGTTCTGAAAACGGCCCAGCCCCCTCCAGTTCACTGTGGCAGCCGGCAGCTCTGACGAAGCTGTTCCTTGTTTTTAAAGAGCCGCTGCTTAGTTCCAAAGCATCCCCAGTTAACAGAATGTGCCAGAAGGGAGTCCTTCTTAATCGGCCCTTACCCCAAACTCTGGTTGTGGGAACTATATTCAGAAACGGAATTACTTAGCCTATCCCTCTCCCCTCTGCTCCCGCTCGCCCCTGCTCATCTTTGCCTGTGATTCCACAACCCACAGGGCTCGGTCCCCATAGCCAGGCGTTTTCTTGGGGAGAGTGAGGGTTAGCCCTGCGTGAGTCTACGGCTGCGGCGGGTCTCCTCTGTTATCCTGCCTTTAGAGCCAATCCCTGAGCTTTTTATCTTCTAATGTTAGTTTGCAATGGTAAATTGGCAAGATGAGCCCCTTTCTTTAAAGGACATGAGGGGTGGCATGGTTTAAAACAAAAGAACGTCTTCACTGAAAAGCCAATAAACACAATGTTGGTAAAAGGCTATGAAGCAGGAGTTGTGGATACAGATGGGCTTGGTTTACTCCGTCAATAATCTGCAGGACCTACTGTGTGCCAGGCACATAGTAGGGCCCAGGGACTCTGTCTCTGTGAAGTCGCCTTATTTACACCACGTTTTTACTGCACAATAAGCTGTAAGTTCATGCTGTCCCTTTCCAGGGAGAGGCCTCTCCTTAAAATGCCCTCCAGCATTGACGGCTATAGGCTGGGCGTAAACTCCGCATCAAGCCATGAATTTGACACCCACCTGCGCTCAGAAAGAGGCAGGGCTGTGCCTTTTCTTGCAACCTGCGCTTCCCTCAGCAAGTAGCCGAATCTGAACGAGGCCTGAGGTGGCTGAACCCCTGCCAAGTGACACTCCACTCCACTCCCTGCTGAATGACACAGCAGCACCCCGCAGTCCTTCTGCCGGCAGGGATCTATTCTGAGCTCCTCTGGAGCAGGCACTGACAGCGCCCATCCTTGATCTTTTGGCTCGGTTCCCAGGGAGACCTCCTCGCGCTATGTTTTATTCATGGTGTCTCCCGGGCTGGTTTCTTCATTGTAAAAATTGGTGGCAGGGGTGGGGACAATCAATGAACCTGATATAAAATCCGGGTTTCGTAACAAAACCATCCCTTTGTGTGCTGAGAGCCTACAACCAGGGTCTGAGATTCTGGAGAAGGTCTGTGTTTTGTGGATTTGTTGTTATTGTTGTTGTTAATCCTCACTGGAGGATATTTTTTCCATTGACTTTTAGAGAGTGGAAGGGAGAGGGGAGGGGGAGAGAGAGAAAGGGAGAGAGAGTAAGAAACATTGATGTGAGAGAGATGCATCGATTGGTTGCCTCCCACATTCACCCCAACTGGGGCTGGGGATCGAACCTGCAACCCAGGTACCTGCCCTTGACCGGGAATCGAACCTGTGACCCTTCAGTGCACAGGCCAATGCTCCAACCCCTGAGCCATATGGGCCAGGGTTGTTTTGAAGACTTTTAAGGCAAAGCATCCATAGAGACAAAAAAATATAGTCATTCATATTGAGGTGGGAGAGTGAAAGAAATAGGTCAGATCCACCAAAAGACCCTTTGCTGGGGAAGCTGCAGACATCTGAGCGCACAGAGGAAAAAGATGGTGCCGTGAGTAAAAACGGTAGACTGAGGGCTGTGTGGGCCACGGTGGGAAAGCTACAAAAAATATACAGAGTCAGCCTTTATTCTAGCGTCTCCCTACAAATTTCATCACCATCAACCTCATCATTGCCTTTGCTGGAAGAACTACATATCTCTCTGCTTCATTCGTTAGGAATCGGTAGGAGAAAGTATGAGCCAGCATTCCCTCCATCTGCCCCATCTCCAAGACAAAACCAAATAAAACCAATGACCACGTATTAGAGGGCAGAGGTCATCATACGATATCACGTCCAACTGACACGCACACACACGCATACCTTGAGCAGTATGGTCTTCTCGTGACGGGTGATGTTGACACTGTGGGGCTGTCCATTGGCCACGTTCCTGTGGTCCACGTCGATATTATATGGCTCTCTGGTGCCACCCAGGTTGTACCGAATCTGTAGGTTTCCTATATAGGGAACAGGTAAGAAGCTCAGTCATTTCTTTGTGCCAGGTTTCATTTAAATATAACTTCCCCACCCCTCGACACTTAGGTTTCCGTTCAGCCCTGTTCCCTCCTTTGACGTCCATCAACACCTCTGCCGTTCTGAATCCTGAGTCGCCAGCTCCGAGCACACTAAGGGTTAACAGAGCCAGGCACCTGCATGTTTGCAATCTACCAACAGTGAGCCATCGGTGACCGTCATCTCAAAGCCGGAGCAGCAAATGGCATAAAGGGTACAAGTTGGGAGTGTGCCGGGGAAGGGGGAATGGGAACATACATAATATAGGGCTGCGGAGATGCCTGCAGGCCCCGCAAAATACACTGAAATAAAAAATAAATGCAGGATACAGGGACAGTCTCGTGGCCTCGGCAAAGCCCGTGGTTCAGCGTATGAAAGAGTCATGAGTGTATAGGATTAAAAATAAACTTAATTCATAAAAGATAAACACATGGGATTTGGGGTGGCTTCACAGGTACCAAAGGAGCAAAGCAATGACTTTTGAGGTTAGAGATTGCTTTGATCCAAATGCAAAACAAAGGCAACGATGGGCTTCCCAGGCCCCCGAGTCCTACCCGGGCCCCCCCCGAGTCCTTGTCACCTCTGTTATAGCTCATTTTGCCTTGATGATCAATTATTTTTTCCCTCCTCGATTCTTGCCCATAATGACAAACAATATTCAAGAAGACTCATGTACTGTTCTAGATCCTGCTTTTAATTAATCTGCAGGGCAAGCATACCTTTTACGTCTTATTTTTATCTCATTTTCACTCAAGTTGGAAACTTCATTTTAATAGCTAACATCTCCCAGGTTAAAAAATGGAGTCTGACCAGCCACCAGTCACCTCACGGATCCCTCATGGCCTCTTTCATTTTCTTTCTGAAGGAACGAAACTGATACTCTGATTTTTAAGTTGTGAAATGAAACATGATAATTAAAAGTTAGGACACAGAAAGAGGAAAGTAAAAGGAAGTCATTGGAGACCCCGCCATCCCGAGATAAGGACTCTGTCACCTGGCCCTATCGCCTTGCAGATATTTCCCAAGCCCTGCCATGCACATAGACAAACGCGAGGCTTCCAAACGCTGCCCCTTTCCCGGGCACCCAGCACCCGCAGTGCCCTTAGGAAGAGGCCCCCAGGCTCCCACAGCTGAACGGACCGTTCGCGAGGACCATCGAGGACGAGCTGCCTTTCCCGTCTGCTTTCTAGGCCAATTCACCAGGCCTTCGCGAGTCCCGAGTCTGACCTTAGCATTTTATCCTGGATCCCTTTGCTTATGGCATTTCAACCGAGCGCCGTTGGTTTTCGTGTCTGAGATGAGTCTAAATTCCCCGGCTCCTCCCATCTCCGCACCCACAGGGGCCCCACGGCGCCTAGGGTGCCCCGGCGTGAACCCCAGAAGAGCCGCTCGCCTGCTGTCTCAGCTCCACCAGAGCCCTGCCCTGGGGCCCTGTGTTGGCCACTCCTTACCAGTGATCGGATGGTCACCACCCGGGCTTCACCTGATCCTCACCTGTCTGTACCTCAAGGGTGACCATCTTGACCTCACCTCACTCTCAGACGAGTCCCCCATTTCTCGGCTCTTCCTTACTCCCAGTCCCATGAAAGGAGATATCTTATTGGCGCCTCCAACACAACAGATGCAAAAACAGACTTGCTCGCCCCCCACGAAAGGATTCCATGGCAATTCCCCTCATTTCCACAGTTCCCTCCATTCCTGCAGCTCTCCCTGCCAAAAGCTCCCACTCCCCTCTTCCTCCCACGTCACACGTTGGTGTGTCAGCGAATCTTCTTGGCTCTTCAAAATATACCTCGAATCCTGCTGCTTTCATCACCTCCACGACTACCCCAGACCAAGCCACCACCGTCTTCGGCCTGAATTGTTGTCCTAGACTCCATGCTCACCTCGTGCTCCTGCCCTGTCCTCACCTTCCCCACCCATCTCTGCCCCTCACAGACCCAGTCCCCTCCGCCTGGCAGTCAGAACGATCCCTGCTCCGAACCTTCCAATGCCTTCCTTCTGTCTCACTTGCAGTAATGGCTCTCCAGGCCCTTTGATCTTCTGCTATCACCCCTGACATAATCTCTTATTAATCTCCTCCTTGCTCACGGTGGCCTCCTGGCTGTCTCTCCAGAAGCCAGCATGTTCCTGCCTCAGGGCCTTTGTACTTGCTGGTTCTTCCACTAGGATGCTCACCCCCCAGGTATCTGCCTGGCTGACCTCTCGGCCCCTTTAGGTTTTTGCTTAGCTATCACCTTCTTAGTGATTGTTTCTGTGACTTCCATTAAAAGCAGAATTTTCCCGCTCCTTTCCTGTGGCTGGGCCTTCCCTTTCCTGCCTTATTTTTCCCTATTATAGTTCTTGCCATACAACATACTACATATTGTCCTTAATTCATTTATTGTCTGTGTTCTCCCACTTAAATGTAAGCCCCACGAGAGCAAGAATTTCTGTTTATATCTTTACGACATCATTCCAGTGTATAGACTAATGCCTGATACTAAGTAGGTGTGAATAAATGTTTGTTGGATGAAGGAAAGACGGTCTCCCTGCCTCTATGCTTTTTCCTTCCCCACACTTTCTTGGCAGAGAGTTCTTTTTAAAATGCATAACTGACTATTTCACTGGTTCACTTAAAACTCTTCAAAGCCTTCCAGTAGCTCATAAGATGAAGCCATACATTCTTCTTATTTTTTTAAAAAAAATATGTTTTTATTGATTTTTTTAGAGAGAGAGGAAGAGAGAAGGAGAGGGAGATAGAAACATTAATGATGAGAGACAACCATCAATCGGTTGCCTCCTGCACACCCCCTCCTGGGGATCGAGCCCACAACCCGGGCATGTGCCCTGACCGGGAATCGAACCAGCGACCTCTAGGTTGATGGGTCAATGCTCAACCACTGAGCCACACTGGCCAGGCAAGGAATGCAATTCTTAATGTACCTTATGATGCTCTGTCCGATCTGAGTTCTGCCTGTTACTTTATTTTCAAGTCATACCATTCACCTTGTCACTTTTTACTTTAATTACCTTTGACTTCTCTTACTCCCTAGAAAATAAAATTCTTCTCCCTACCTCAGGACCTTTGAACATGCTGCTCAAACATTCTTCAGTGTTTTACCCTATTTTGCCCTGTATCCTAACAGCATCGAGACTAGTCTATTGCTTGGGAGTGAAGGAGATGATCAGGCGGTCATGTGGACGACATGCAGAAAGGTGGCCTCCGCGAGTGACTGCTCGAGTGCCCCTTTCCTTCCGGCGCTCTAACCTTGTATGACCTCAGTCAATTTTCCTAAGCACGTAGCCGCATTCATTCATCATTTATTTACTCATGTCTTCAGAACACGTTTATTTAGTGATGGTGCGGAGCACCGTCGGGCCCACTTTTCCCGGGTCTGAAGCCGGCTGTCTGCTCGGCTGTCAGCGTGGGGTCTCTTCTCACACAACCAGCCCAGTTCCCCGCGCGGGCCAGGCTGGGCCCGGACCTGGGGAGACAGCGAGAAGTAAAAGGGGCTCTGCCTTGACGGCCAGAGGTCGGAGGGACCCGAAATTATGCAAAAAGCTGGACACTCGCCTCCCTGCTGTCGCTTTCACTGGTCCCTTTAAGTCCCCCGGCTCATTAAAATCAGCACTCAGTTGTTTGTATTCCTCTTTTCTTTCTGGCTTTCTTGAACTTTGTAAATATGATTTAAAATGTCTATAACCGCTTCACTTAATGGCAACAGAAATCATTTGCTTTGAGGAAAAAAAAGATAAGCTGGAACTCTGAATTTATATATAGCGAGGATCTGCACACAGTAATGGCAATATTCTCGAATAATAAAATTCGAACGCTATATTGATTGCTTTCAAATAATAGCACAAGAGAACCACAAAACGATGACAGGGAAAATACTGATATTTGTTCATTAAAATAATGACGCTTCCTGTGTCTCGTGTTCCTCCCCCCAGGGCATGAAAGCAGCGCTGAGGGGCTGCTCCTGTCCCGGCTTCCCACCCACGTGCTTCCCAGACCCACTCTCTCCTGGCCTGTGCCACCGTCATCGGAAACACTNGCTGAGGGGCTGCTCCTGTCCCGGCTTCCCACCCACGTGCTTCCCAGACCCACTCTCTCCTGGCCTGTGCCACCGTCATCAGAAACACAGGGCACCTACTGCGCGCAGACAGGGCGTGTTTATAGCAAAGAGAGATAATGACACAGGGCACTAGGTGCCAAGCAGGTGACACTGGAAGTAAAGTTAAGAGGAGTTTAAATCAAGGAGACGTCACTGAAAGGAGGTGAGACTTGACCCGGGTCTAGAATGAAATACCGGGAGGAGCGCTGTGAAGGGTGTGGCTGTCTGACCACCAAGCTGTACACCTGAAATGGATACAAAACAACACCGAAGGTCAACTGTAATTGAAAAGCTAAATAAAATAAAAAGAAAAGCAGGTCTCAGGCCAGAGAGGAAGATGGAGGTTTTTCAGATAAGGGAACACAATGGGCAGGAACACGGGCGCCCGCAGAGCCCTCGGGGAAGAGCGAATTCCTTGAGTATGAAGAGTAGGGATATTCGTCACTGAATGTGTGACAAAGCAGGTTAAATCCGGGACACACCTGATTTTCACAACGCCCTATGAGGGAGACGGTGTTTCACAGACGAGGAAACTTCGATCTCACAACCCACGAATGCAGATGCGCAACTCGAACCCTGACTTTCCGGTTCCGCACGCGGGGCTCCAGCCCACGAGGCTGAGGCTGGTGCTGGGGCCCGACTGGAAGGTGGCAGGATTTGGGATTTCTCCTGCTGTCCGGGAGGGCGGGGGCGCTGCTCGTTCTATGGCAGGGATTCTGTGTGTAAAGGAACCCGCTCTGGCCGTGACGGGGAGGCTAAGGTGGAAGCGACTGGAAGCAGGGAGCTGGGCTGGGACAGGGCTCCCGGGGGGACACGCTGAGGGGCCCTGCTGTCCCCTGTGGGGGGCAGGGACTGCTGAAGACACTGGGTTGTGGCCTTCTAAACACAAGCTCGTCCATTTACCCAAGAATTGTTAAAATAATTTTCTCTGTGTGTCTGACACATACAACAACACCGCTTCCTCGCTGACTTTACGTGTTATTTTTTCTAATTAGAGCAGCGGCCCTGGCTGGGTGTGGGCACTTGTCGTGTGGAGAAGAGTGTTCCTCAGGAAGGAGCAGCTGGCCAGCAATGCAGACCACACCTGGCGCTCGGTGTTGCTTTCCTGCTAGCCAGGTACGTTTTTACAAAGTTAGGCTGGTACTGGACGGTCGAAGCTGTATCTTGCCCCCTTTTGTTTGTTTAACATAATATCGCTAATTTTTTTCCCCTCCATGTCATTAACTGCTCTTCATAAATATTATTCTTTTTTTTTTTTTAAAAAAATATATCTTTATTTATTTCAGAGAGAGGAAAGGAGAGGGAGAGAGAGATAGAAACATCAATGATAGAGTCATTGATCAGCTGCAGCCCGCAATCTGGGCATGTGCCCTGACCGGGAATCGAACCCTGATCGCCTGGATCCTAGGTCGATGCTTAACCACTGAGCCACGCCCGGCCGGGCTTTTTTTTTTTTTTTTTAAATATAGATAAATATTATTCTTAATGGATACATAATATTGCATAAAATGGTGACTCCCTCATTCACTAACCATTTACTAAAGTTGAGCTTCTCAGACCTTTCCAGTTCCTATAAGTAACACCGTGATGGGCACCTTCATGCAGAATCTTTGTCTGAGTTTTGTCCAATTACTTTAGGAATAATTTCTAAAGTGGAAAATCTTAGGGCACATTTATTTCCCTAACCTTTTAACCTACAGTGCACTGTCCAAACAAGAAGTTTAAGAATTTACTATTTTTCAAAACTCAACCTGAATTGGGTTAATAATAATAATAACTCTTGGTTCCCATGGAAGGAAAGGGAACCAAGAACGATTCTTTCAGATGCTACCACCTGCAGCAGCCGTCAAAGAAGGCTGCCGAGCCCCACCGCTGGAGCAAGACCTCCACGCTGCCAGCGACACGTGCTCTCTGGGAAACGAGTTCGGGAGATTCGCTCCTCAAGGCCCCTAAAATATTTTCGTTAGTAAAAAAGAAAGTGATCTTAAAACTTTAAGTGTCTTAGAACCCAAGTTTATGTGCATTAGGAATGTTTACACCTCTCTCTGAGGTCGTAAGGCCGTCCCTCCGTTGCCACCAGGATGCCCTCTTGGCCGCCCCGTCTGCCCCCTCGGCTCAGTGCGCACCTAGAGATCACGGCGGTCCCAATGTTACACGTACACACCCCTGCTTCCAGCGACCCTAAGGTCAGGGATGTACTGGTGAGTGTCAAATTCTGAGAGGGCTTGGGAAGGCAAGTGTCCCCGATTCTCTCTTTCTACTGGACGTTCCTATGTTCTGAGGAACCTACTGATGGTTATCATAAATCAGGATAATTCATTGATTTGCAGAAAATTAGTTTCACCGCTTCAAAGCTCATCTCGACCTAGTACAGCAGTGAGTGTATTTATTCATTAGGGACAGAAAAGTCATCATGACACATCTGAAGCCGTCTCGTACCGGGTAACAGGGCTCTTGTCAAGAGCCCGGCACGTCTTAGCGACGTTACTACTGTAACACGTTGCTGCGAAGCACGCAATGGACCAGCTTTGCTGGCTCTCAAGCAGGGACGCGGGGTTCGAGGACAGTCGATGACTGGCTCCACCTCCTGCGGGGAACGGGGGACCTGCCCAGCACAATCCGGGCTCTTGCTGGATGGAGCCTCCCGCCCACCAGCGCTCAGGGCCGGGTGTCCCCGTCCTTACCCGAGGGCTTCACGAGGACGGCCAGGAAGTCGGCGGCCAGGGAGCTGACGTAGAGGAGAATGCAGGGCGCCCGGGAGGTGCTGAAGCTGAAGCGCACCTCCTCGCGGGCCAGGTCCGCGGCGCCCTCCGGCCTGCCGCCCGCCTCCGGCCCGCTG